TTCACCATGTTGGCCAGGCTGGTCTCGAACTCCTGACCCCAGGTGATCTGTCTGCCTCGGCCTCCCAAAGTGCTGGGATTACAGGTGCAAACCACCACGCGCAGCCACCACAGAGTACTTTTATATTCATTACCATTAATATTAATTATACACTTAATATTTTATTTCAATTGCATAGGGCTCTAAATAATTTGTTGACATGGGTCTAGTGACTTACTACCTTAAAGGGAGAACAGTGAGTCTGGTATTCACGGCCATTTCCCCCCTTGTATCCCATAAGATTATAATACCACATTTTTACCTTACCTTTGATATGTTTAGATACACAAATACTTACGATTGTGTTATAGTTGCCTGCAGAATGCAGTAGAGTAACATGCTGTACAGGTTTGTAGCCTAAGAGTAACAGGCTGTGCCATATAGCCTAGGTGTGCAGTTGGCTATACATCCAAGTTTGTGAAAGCGTACTCTATGATGTTCACACAATGATGAAATCACCTAATGATGGATTTCTCAGAATGCATCCCCTTCATTAACACATGACTGTATATGTACTCTCCTTAGAACCATGTTTGCAATATCTATAGCTTGAGGTTGGAAAGTTCTCAGAGATTGAGGAGGTGGGATTTATTTTCACTGGTTACTCCAAGATGTCAAATCAGTTAGTCTATGTGTTCAAACATGAAGCTAGTTAACCTGAGCTTAACAGGAACTTAAGACAAACATAAGTCTGGGATACAGTACACAACAATTTAGCCATTGTTCACTTTTCCATTTCTCCTTCCGCAAGGGATGTACCAAATCCAATAATAAATAAGCATTACCAATAATTTAAAAAAAATGTTTAACCCAAACCTGTTCTATTTTATGCTTTTATTTACTGTCTAATTGTGATCGCTTCTTCTCATATATACACTAATCTGGGAAAACTAGATCTCTTTTTTGTAACTAAATAGATAATACAGTTGGGATAGGTAAAGCTGTTCCCTAGTGGTTCTCAATTTGCAAGCTCTAAACACAAAAGCAGACATGCTTGGTAACTCAAAGCATAGGGATTCAATATCATTGGTTTCAAAGTCTGTGGAATTCACAGACACGAGCATTCAGCCTAGGGAAGAGAAGGGAGATAATAATTTAAAAGATACTGGGAAAAGAAAACAGATGGTATAGAAGAGTGAATTACAACATTTTAAAATTTGGGGTCTCTGCTTCAGTTGTGGCAATCCTTGGTCTTAGAAGACTAAATAAATACCTACAAGAATAAACATCAAGGCTAAATGTGTCAGTTTTTAGTTGCTTTGGTTTATTTTTTTACCCCAAGTTTTAAAAGTTATGCAGCCCTTAGAAAGTTCAGTAGGTAGTTCTAGTCATTAAGTGATTTATACACAGCCAAATAGTAACATTTTCTAGACTGGTATTAAAAATGAATAGGATTCATTTATAATTGTTAAGTTTAATAATTTGACTTCCTGAAAAGCTGATTCCCTCCCCAAAAAGAAAAACTAGATTAGTTCAAATAGAAAGCAATTTGTAGAAAGACTTTTCAAATGTAGGTGCTTCATTGATCAAGTGTAAATATAAAGTCCTTGAGTTTCTTTCCAGCTTTACGGTTTCATGGCTTTTAACATCCTTGTGGGAATGTGATGCCCTACCTATATGCAACCCCCAAACCATTCATGTAACAATCTCAGGTAAAATTCAGTATCATTCTCTATGGTTACCACCCATTCAGAAATCGGCATTCGACGCTGGGCACCTGTCCACAGTACCCCTGGCTGAAAGACTGATCCCTGAAGGGAGGGGCAGACATGAAAGGGCTATGGGCATCCAGATGTGACCGGTGGTGTGTGTACGCATTACCTCTCCCGCTCCTGCTCCAGCAGGTTGGTGAAGTCGTCGCTCTTGTTCATGTAGTCAGTGTGTTTATGCTTCTCGTTCTCTAACTCGTACACGGTGCGCCTGTGACACTTTTCGGCCAGCAACAGCTGCTCTAGCATGCGCCGGTAGGTTTCTTTCTGTTTTTCCTCAAGTCTGTCCAGCTGAATAAGCAAACATGGGAAAGAGCTTAATATTTTATTGCATTTGCATAGGACTCTAAACAATTTGTTGACATGGGTCTAGTGACTTATTACCTGAAAGCGAGAACAGTGAGTCTGGTATTCACTACTATTTCCCCCATTGTATCAGTTTCTTTATGCCAATTGGCTGTATAAACCAACCATAATAATGTTGCAGTAACTTCTGGCTTTCTGGCTTTCTTGTAAACATATATATGGTTCCTAAACTTTTTTCCCTTTTAAGGGTGGTGGGATATACCACAATTTTATCCATTCTACTGTTGATGACCATTTGGGTAGTTTCCAACTTGGGTCTATTACAAATAATGCTGTTCTGAATACTCTAATTCATGTCCTTTAGTGAACATATAGCATATGTGTCAGGTGTATACCCATGAGTGAAATATGGGTCATAGGATATGTGTATATGTAGCTTTATTAGATATACCTATGAGTGAAATATAGGTCATAGGATATGACCAAATATGGGTCATAGGATATGTGTATATGTAGCTTTATTAGATATACCTATGAGTGAAATATAGGTCATAGGATATGACCAAATATGGGTCATAGGATATGCCAAGCAATTTTCTAAAGAAGCTGTACCCATTTATGCTCCTACAACCAATGTTTAGGAGTTTTGATTGTTCTACATCCTTGTCAACACGTAGTATTTTTAAAACTTTTAGCCAGACGTGGTGGCTCATGCCTGTAATCCCAGCACTCAGGGAGGCTGAAGCAGGCAGATCACGTGGTCAGGAGTTCGAGACCAGCCTGAGCAATATGGTGAAACCCCATCTCTACTAAAAATACAAAAATTAGTTTGATGTGGTGGCATGTGCCTGTAATCCCAGCTACTCAGGAGGCTGAGGCAGGAGAATCGCTTGATCCCTAGAGGCAGAAGTTGCAGTGAGCCAAGATCTCACCACTGCACTCCAGCCTGGGCAACAGATGGAGACTCTATCTCAAAAAATAACAACAACAAAAACCTTTTAACCATTTTGATGGGTGTGTGGTGTTCGCTCATTGTGATTTTAATGCTCACTTACCTGATAAAGTTCAAACACTTTTTCATTTGTTTATTGGTCATTTGGGTTCCTAAACTTGCAGGAGAACAACTCTTTCAGGGTTTTATGAGATAGCACAAAGCTCTATACTCAGAAAGAGGATAACACCCTTCCTGATAGAAAAATTAAGATCTCAGCATGTACATGCACCAGGCTTCTCCCCTGGAAAGTAATTTTCATCACAATCTGTTTTTGAAGCTTGCAGCTATCTGCATTTCTAGGAAAAGTATATGTAGGATCCAAAGTCCTCTGTTTTTCAAGAGATGCTAAATATAGGGAGGATTTCAGAACTTGTAGACAGTACATATCTCTAAAAGAGTTCTTACCAAATATTATTACAGGGGCCAGTCACAGTGGCTCATGCCTGTAATCCCAGCACTTTGGGGGGCTGAGGCGGGTGGACTGCTTGAGGTTAGGAGTTCGAGACCAGCCTGACCAACATGGTGAAACCCTGTCTCTACTAAAAATACAAAAATTAGCCGGACGTGGTGGCAGATGCCTGTAATCCCAGCTACTTGGGAGGCTGAGGCAGAAAAATCACTTGAACCCAGGAGGCGGAGGTTGTAATAAGCCAAGATCACACCACTGCACTCCAGCCAGGGCAACAAAGCAAGACTCCATCTCAAAAACCAAAACCAAAACAAAACAAAACCAAAAAAAGGCAAAACAACAACAACAACAACAACAACCCATAAATATTATTACTGGGTTTTGGGCCAGGCGCGGCGGCTCAGGCTGTAATCCCAGCACTTTGGGAGGCCGAGGTTGGCGGATCACAAGGTCAGGAGATCAAGAGCGAGACCATCCTAGCTAACACGGTGAAACCCCGTCTCTACTAAAAATACAAAAAATTAGCCGGGCATAGTGGCAGGCACCTGAAGTCCCAGCTACTTGGGAGGCTGAGGCAGGAGAATGGCGTGAACCCGGGAGGCGGAGCTTGCAGTGAGCGGAGATTGTGCCACTGCACTCCAGCAGGGGCAACAGAGCAAGACTCTGTCTCAAAAAAATAAATAAATAAATACAAAATAAAAAAGAAGTCTTTGTGCCTCTTTCTCTGGTCAGGGTATAAGATTTTTTTATTGTTTGTTTATTTATTTATTTATTTATTTGAGACAAGTCTCACTCTGTTGCCTAGGATGGAGTGCAGTGGCATGACCTTGACCTCAGCTCATTGCAACATCCACCTCCTGGGTTCAAGCGATTCTCCTGCCTCAGCCTCCTGAGTAGCTGGAATTACAGGGCACGTCACCATGCCCAGCTAATTTTTGTATTTTTAGTAGAGATGAGTTTTCATCAGGTTGGCCAGGCTGGTCTCTAACTCCTGACCTCAGGTGATCTGTCTGCCTTGGCCTCCCAAAGTGCTGGGATTATAGGCACGAGCCACCACACCCGGCCTGGCCAGGTTATATGATTTTAAAGAGATCGTGCCTTGACCACCTTTTTAGACTCCGGTGCTGAGTACAGGCCCTGGTACAAAGTTGATGTTCAGTAAGTGTTTGTTAAATTGGACCAAATCTGACAATCTTGATATTTCCCTATGCTACTCACTATCCTATTCTTCCCTTTGAATTCTAGTTCAGTGTTCCACAACTTTGGCACTGCTGAGGCCAGATAAATCTTTATTTCAGGGTGCTGTGAGCTGGAGGATGTTTAGCAGCATCCCTGGCCTCTGTCCACTAGATGCCAGTAAGCACCACCTCCTGTGTGACAACTAAACTATCCTGACACTGCCAAATGTTCCCTGGACGGAAAAATCCACCACCACCCCAATTGAGAACCAATTGTTCTAGTTGAAACAGACATATTTAAAATCAGTTCTCAATCTCACAACCAACTTCCGGAAACCCCATGGGGTAACTCCACAGGGTCTCAGCATTAGAGCTATTCCCCTTTAGTTTTCTGTTTACCCTTCAGTTATAAGGAGGATTAAGTTCTCTCTATAATTGCATGATGTGTTCATTGTGAGTGAGTCATTTCTGGGGCCCAAAATAAAAGAGAGACTGCTCGCATTATCTTTTTCCCAGATCTCCACTTCCCTTGTTTAGGAGTCAGTGACCAGATAGGGACTGGTGAAGAAGCCCATGTTAATGGGTGGCTGATATTATCTGAGATCATCAGGAATTGCTAATTGTATTTTTATATCTTCCAATAATTTTTTGTAGTCTTTTTTTTCTTTTCTTTTCTTTTTTTTTTTTTTTTTTGAGATGAAGTTTCGCTCTTGTTGCACAGGCTGGAGTACAGTGGTGCAATCTTGGCTCACTGCAACCTCTGCCTCCTGGGTTTAAGCAATTCTCCTGCCTCAGCCTCCTGAGTAGCTGGAATTACAGGTGCCCACCACCACACCCAGCTAGTTTTTGTGTTTTTAGTAGAGACAGGGTTTCACCATGTTGGCCAGGCTGGTCTTGAACTCCTGACCTCAGGTGATCCACCCACTTCTGCCTCCCAAAGTACTGGGATTACAGGCGTGAGCCACTACACCCAGTCAATTTTTGTAGTCTTAAAGAGACAGTCTATGCGTGAGGTTTTCCCATTAGAATAGCTCCATTCCCTATTACAAAATATTCTCCCCAAGAACTTTCCAAATTTCTACAAATGTGATTTTCAACATATTTTAGAGAACATGTCAAGCATTGCTGAAACATCATCATCATCAGAAATGTAGAAAAAGCAACTTTCCCCCCTTTTTGAGCCTTGCTGCTTTATCATAAAATAGGACTCCCCATCCTTTGGAAAGTATTTGAAGATCAGTATTTTCCCTCTTTCTTCAGGCCCTACCCAACTCCTCCCAAAGGAAGGAGGGGTGACTTATTTGAAAGTTGTATTTGGAATAGGGAACTGGATATGTGCAGCCCAGCCCTTTCGTTTCTTAGTTTTTACTCTGCCTGTCATACAATGATACACTGATCTGAAGGGTCAAACTCTTCTGCAGGATCTCTCAATCCATGTAAGGAATTCTGGAGAGGAAGGTGGGAGCATTACTAATCGGATGCTTGACTGGGAAATGTAACGAGATAGTCATTACATGGACATCTGGAGAAAAAAACAGCACATGGAAATATCAAGTGTTCTGGGGCCCCCTAGGCAGATGGTAGACCTTAGCCTTTTTACATCTATCCTTGTAGGCTTTTGAGACTGGTTGTTTGCGATAGCTACAGTTCTGGACTAAGCCACTGGAGTAGGTGGCTGAAGTCTTTGTGGGTAATGTTCACCTCACCAAACACTAGCACAGCTTGACCACAACAGTAATTACATTATCAGCAAAGCAGTCTTTTCATCTCTTAATGCATAAGTTACTGAGGCATTGGTGTATGTAGTGTGTTTTTTAGACAGAGCTGCAGATTCAGACTTTAGAATGTAGAGGCTATAAATTCTTCTGCTATAAAGCATTAGTATGTGAGGTTTTAGGTGTCAATTTTAAGTTTTGGATGTAAGAATAACATAGGTAGCAAAAGATCAGCTGTACCAGATGCTGTTTCTTGTTATTTTGTTTGGAACTACATCAATCTCCTAAGAGAGAACAGAGGTAGTCTATTTTCTTGGCTCTATGTGGCTTGTCCAGAGACTCTGAAGATTTTGTAGATTCATTAATCATAGATACTATATGTACATGGCTTTTGGTTTCAGGATCCAAGCTGTAGCTCAGTATAGAGGAACGGGTTTTATTAAATGACTAGTGAAAGTAGAATGGGCACCTATTATTTTGGAAATGTAGATTCTACTTGGACGAGGTGGAAGGAAAATTGAATGAGAGAATCACAACACCAAATGCCAAAAATTTACTAAGGAAAGAGAGTACCTGGAAGTCTTATTCTAATGAATAAAGTTAGTGGAGAAGTACAATAACTTGAGGAGAAATTTCAGTATGTTTTAGACAAAAAGGCATGATTCAGGAAGTATTTTTAGCTCTGTTACCTGCAAAGGGCTAACTGGAGAAGTATTAAGGAATTGAGGAAAAGAGAAATCTACTTAAAAGCAAATATGAGGTCTTAAAGACCAAACTAGATTTACACAAAGCGGAAATGGATCTAAGTACTTCTAAAAATAGGGATATTAAAATGGAAGGTATTTCAGACATTGTTGAATCAGAATGCGTGCCCAGAGACGACAGAGACAGGAGAGCCCACAGGACAGAGCAGTGTGACTTTCCTCACAAAGAAAGCATTAGGACCCAGGAAGGGATTGAGGAGAACACTGCAAATGGACTGATAGTCTTTTCTGAGCTCAACTGGGGGCCCTTCCCTTAAAGATTGCAACATCTATTCAAAGTGGTTATATAAAATACGAATAGATTTAAGAATCGAAAACTGGGAAGATCAGGGTAAGATATCTGAAGCATTATTTGGTGAGTTTCAGTGTCTCAGCTGTTGTAGATGGAATTGCCAATGTTTATTTATTTATTTATTATTTATTTACTTTTTCTTTTTTTTGAGAAAGAGTCTCGCTCTCTCGCCCAGGCTGGAGTGCAGTGGCGCAATCTCGGCTCACTGCAATCGCCGAGGCCTCCCAGGTTCAAGTGATTCTTGTACCTCAGCCTCCCGAGTACCTGGGATTATAGGTACCTGCCACCACGCCTGGCTAAGTTTTGTATTTTTAGTAGAGATGGGGTTTCATTGTGTTGGTCAGGCTGGTCTCGAACTCCTGACCTCAAATGATCTGCCTGCCTCGGCCTCCCAAAGTGCTGGGATTACAGGCATGAGACACCACGTCCACTGGAATCACCAATATTACTGGGGCCCGAGTGAACATACTCAAGAAATGTTGGGATGTGGTGTTTGAAGGAAAGATGAGACAAAGAAAAGGGAATTTAGGCAGGACAACACTAGATAAGTTCAAATGTGGGTGTGGTATAATGGAAAAAGGCCCTTTAATGAAGATTATCCAACTCAAGAAGATGAAAATAGTTAAGATTTAGGTTTAACAAAGAATACTCTTGGCAGACTCAGAATTCTTTGATTTCACATCTCTCATTGAGGGAGCCCACATAATGTAGAATATGGAAGGCAATATTAGAAAAACAAATGTCTAGGAGCACTTGAAGAAAATGACTAAAATGCTGAAGCAACAACTCAGCTGAGCCTTCCTACACAGAAAAGTTGTGGCAGAAGAAATATTTTTGTTGCCTTGAGTCAGACAAGTTACTCAAAGATTGAAAGTTCAAACATGAGGGGAGGCTAAGTTCTGAGGAAGAGTAAGGTCTGATCCCTTCTGGGCCTCGAATTACACAGGCTTCAGAAGGGTAACCCTCTAAAGCGATGGGCTTCCTAGGCCTGGCAACAGGGCCCGAAAAAAGAAAAAGACCAAAGAAGTTTAAATACTCAGATGGGAAAATTGAATACCTAAAATGAGACCTAGGCACTGAAGAGGTCACCACTGCAAATCCCTAGACTTTACAAAAAGACAGGAATGTTTTGAATGCCACTCACTGAGGCAAAGAAAATACCTGCAGAGAGGCTCCACCCAATCTCGAGCTTGCCACTTCCCATAATTATTAAGCTGCTGATGACAACAGGCTCTGGTAAGAGCAGGCTTACCAGAACCCTGCTATGGCTGAAGATTTTCTCTATCTACCTTCCTTCCCTCAGACATGCCCTAAATCTCTGCTTTAGTCTCTGGTAGGAGTAACATGGACCTTCTTTATACCAAGTCCTAGGGTCAAGGAATATCATTTTGCTTGAGAAAAATGTATCTTAGTGCTAGAGACTCTCTTGTATTTTTTAAATTTATGAGTGTGAAGTTGTACTCTGATAATTGCATGTGTCCTAATAATTCTTTAGATTCTTCAGAAAAAAGTAGACTCTAGGGACTTCAGGATATCTTAATACAACTTTGAAAATGCCAGTGAGTCCAGGTTTTTTTACTAAAGGGGAAAACAAAAACAAACTCTACCCAGACAATCAATTGAGATCCCACTGGCTAAAGCTAAGCAGAATACAAAATTAGGAAGGAAAGAAATGAAAACCTTCAATGTTTTTGGAATTTTGCTTAAGAATTATGAACTCTGATATCCCAGACTTTAATTTACAAAGAAGGGCAGAGAGATTTAATATTTGCTGTTTAATTTTTCCCCAGATATTTGGCAAGGGAAAAAGGTCCACTGTATTGGGTTCATTGCTTAACTTCTCGTGAGTTCTACTGGATACCCCTGCTGGGCCTAATACGGTATGGAAATAAGAAAGAGCAGTGATTTTTGGCTTAAGATATAATATGGCTTCTAGGAAATAAGAGCTAGACTACCTGCTCATGATCCCAGGAGGCTAATGGAACAGTGATGTATCACAGTTCCTGCCTCGTGAATTTGGAAGCAGGATTCTGCTCCTAGGTAACAATAACTTGACTGTTAATTTCAAAGGGTTAACAGACCCAAAATTTGTAAGTGGTGGAAGGAAATCTTTTCTCCTTCTATCATTTTATTTCTCTCACAAAATGGACTTCATTTTGGCAGTATTAGGAGAAGTATTTTCTGCCCTCTCTCTCTGCCTTCTCACTCACTTCTCCCCAAAGGGGAAACGACTCTTCAGATTGTTAAGAGGAGAAAGGAACCATGAAATATGCCCAGCTTAGCCAGTTCCAGAAGGACAAGTCACAGGGTGAGGGTTTTCTGTTCTGATCCTCTGTCCCTGAGTTAGGAATATTTAGGTCAGGCCTACTTTCTAAAGGTAGGTCGGAAACTCCTCTCTCTGTGTTCAGTCCACAGAACCCAGTGGATTGGAGGCAGTAATCCTGGGTAAGTGTGTATTCTCTGCAGACTCACCTCTCCCTTGGTGGTGAGGGTGGGGAATGTCATCCCAAGCTCTAGCCTTGGAAGAAAAGAATTCAGAAGCCCAAATGAGACCATTTATCCAAGCTGAGTTCTCTAATCCAAGTTGTTATTATTATTATTATTATCATATTAAATACATGTTTTTGACCTCTGTGTCTTTTACTCCTCAAATCTTCCCAAGTTTCAAACCAATTAAGGGTATGAGCAGTTATTCTTGAATCCCAGCAAATACTAATGACTAATACTTGTTAAGTACCTAGAATGTGCCAGAGACTATGTTAAGAGTTTTATAGGCATTGCTTTATTAAATCCTCACAGCAGTTCTGTGAGGTAGACACTGTGGTTCCTCACACCCCACAGTTGAGGAAACTGAGGCTTAAAGAGCTTACATAATCTGCCTGTAGCCATACACAGCTAGCAGTGGTAGGTCTCAGACATGAAAGTAGATCCAGCCTGTTGACTGCATCCTATCGTATAATCATCTCTTAACTCTTTTGGAAAAGATGAGAATAGAGCTCCAGTTTATTCTTGCTGCAGAAATTTAAAAATTATGGGACCATCAGTCTGTTGTGAATGCTGTCTAAAGCAGATCTTATCTCTGAGAGTTATCAAACTGAGCTGCTCCAAAGGCTTGACATAAATTACATGTTAAACATATAGTAAGTTGTTTCAGACTTTTAATTTCTGTTCTCTTTTTGGTTCATGACACTAATTTCACATCTGTAAATTTTTTAATATAAAGTCTGAAGGGTCAATGTGAAAAACTTGTATCCTAATCTGGCTCGAACTTCTACTACAATGTGAGAGTATTTTTAAAATGTGGTATTATGAGTAATCAATAATAATAGTCATAGCCCTATTAGAATTCCTTTCATCTTAAAGAATTGCCCTAAGTATTTCATAAGGATTTTGCCTCAATCACTATATTTTGGCCACTCACATTAGACCATTTTAATTATGAAAGAGTTTATAAAATTCGAAAAAAGTGTCTTTATAACCATATCAGTGATAAGATCAATTTAATTTTAGGTTACCAATTTTGTAAGAATCATGACAGCTCAATGTTAAAACTGGTAAGCACTTCAAATTTTTACACTATCATTTCTTAGAGAAGTAAAATTATAATATACTGCAAGCGCATGTAACTATCAGAACCACATGGAAAAATATATTTCAGGCTTTGGTATGTTTAAAGAAAAGCTTCTACAATTCTTAACATTGAAGCTTATCCACTATAACCCTTGACTTATTTAATTACACTTTAATTTTATATTAGTGTATCATCAAAATTTTGCCTTTGAAAGAAAATGTTAAAGCATGTAAATGGAAGAATGTGAAGATATCTCCCTGAGGTTCCTTCCCTTCCAGGGGACTTCTTGGTGTCATATTTTTACCTCTGAAATCGGTTTTTCATAGACATCTTCTCCTATGGATTTCTCCTGGGCAAGAATGGCATCTCGGTGCAGGACCCGCAGCACTTTCTCTGGCTCCGCAGACCCGTAATGAGCCTCCAGAACCTCAGGTTTGGTTTTCTCCGTCTTCAGCATATGGATCACGTCTTCTCTGGCCTGTAATAGAAAGTGCAGCAAGATCAGACGATTGATAATGTAAATCACATACTGGGCTCAAAATATCAACAGAGAGCTTATTGAATACATCCCCATTTTGTCAGGGCTATTGGCAAATTCATTGGGTATTCTGTTCTTTTTTTTTTTTTTTTTTTTTTTTTAACCAAAAGCAGATTGGCAAGCAGATACTCTGCTTCAGGTTGCTAGGAAGCAGGCGAGCAGAAAAAAGGATTTGTGCTAATATTAACTACATAAAAATTGCTTTATCTAAGTAGCAATAATTCGGGATGGGGTGGTGGAGGGAGGCAAGCAGGGCTGGTCCTGGGAACTTAACCTGTTTCAGTGCACGCGAGGTCAATGACAGTCTAAAATCTTCTAGTTTTCTGTTGATGTTCTCAATGTAGTATTCAAATCTGGTTTAAAATAAAACCCTGCTGCCTCCATTCTAGTTATAACTTCATGTGTCAATTAACAAACAGCCTTTATTGATGATTTCCTGTTTCTCATTAGGTGATTCATTTTGCACAGAAACACATGGTTGAGAACTCATATGATGCTTGGCTGTCCTTTTCAAATCTAATGTATCTAATGTATTCACAATAAAGGTGAAATTACACCCCTTTAACATCCAGACTGTCAGTTAGATGAGTCAGCTTGGTAGGTCAGTTTTGTTTGTCTATTTCTTAGCACAACGTATTACTGAAGCTTTCAAGAAAACCACGATTGTAGGCTTTATATCATACAGTCTGTGGTTCCCATCACATAATGCAAATACACCTGCTTATGTTTTGCACTAGTTAGTAGGGATGATCTTTCTACTTATGATGGAGCTGACATTTGCTGAATGTATTTCCATATAGGGACACACTTGGAGCTGTTTTTCCAGTAATGGTGATGGGTAAGAAGTGCCCTGACTTCATTCCAACTTGTACTAAAGAAAAATCTGGTTGGGAACAAAGTTTCAGCCTATGACAATGAAATAGAGTTTTCTCCTATATTGATGCTCACTGTGGGACTGAAATTATAAACCTGGTTCATTATTATGATATTCTAAAGAAGAGAGCTAACTAGTCAACTATGAGTGTTCACAATACGACCGTTATAAAGTTTGTCTTTCTCGAGGTTTCTCACTTTTGTTGCCTTTTCAGTCTCCAAATTAATCTAATTCCATATGGCTACAGAATAATTCATTACTGAGATGTCAATGAACTGGAATTTGCAGATTTGAAATGTTTCTGCCACATATACACATGCTCACTTCAAGACAAAAATGGAAAATATGAATTTTGAAGAACCTGGTGGTTTAGAATGTTAGTGAATGTTGAAGTCAGGAAATAGTTTAATGGAAAGGCAATGTGTCTTCATGCAGGTTGAAAGAAGATAAGCACAGATGCAGGGTCAAGTTAGCCTGTACACTGTGCTCATTAGAAAAAGGTGCCCACTTTATCTAGGAGACACAGCCCTGAGTCACAGCGCAGCTCACCTAGTGAGTGAAGAGCAGGCTGTCTTTTAGCCCTGTTCATCCTCTCTGCCAGGCACCATTGTGCAAGGCATAACTCCCAATCTATACTGAAGGAGCCTCAAGTTACGTAGACTGCTACTGGTCTTCAGGCAGAAAGTGCTCCTGTGTTCATCTGACATAGGTGAATATATAAAGCATGTTCTAAAGTAATGATTCACAATGCTGACTGTGCTGAAGTCATTTGAGGAACTCTAAAAAATCCCAAGGCCCAGGCCATTCCAGACCAATTACATTCTAATCTTTTGGGGAAGGACCTATATACATCAACGCTTTTTAAGGCTCCCAGGTGATTCCAGGGTTGAGAGTACTGTGCCACACTAATAGATTACGAGACATAGCAACTAAATTGAATACAAATCCTTGGCATCATCCAAAGTCAACTTGCTTACTTTGGTGCAAGTACATTTCCTTTTTCCGATCTTAAAAAGCTGTCATCACTTTTCTCCTTTAAATTATCCTCACACCCCAGGTCAGTTTTTTGCTTTGACCAAATCCGAAAGAGACGAACTCGTCTTTAAAGAAGAAACACCATACTGTGAATTTAGTGACTTACGTAATGACAGGAAAGGAAAATTTAGAATCACATTTAAAGTGAAAAAATGGCGATGATAGAAGGTTGGCAAGCTGGAAGTTCTTGATAACAAACTACTGTCTGTTTCTCATCTTTAAATCAGATGAAGTAAAGGTCATTTTCTAAAGTTCATTTTTCTAACATGTGAAATGTGAAGTCTTATAGAGCAGACATAGAATGTACTGTCCTTTGAAAAAATAAATAAATAAATAAATAATTTTAATATAAAAAGTAAAATAGAATGTACTGTTGTTTATACTGTAAATTGAGATACTGATTAAAAATTTCTGAAATACTAAAAGAAAAGGGCTTAGAAGACAGGATAGTAATATTAAGGGCTGTTTTTTTTTATGTTTATTTTGTTTTTCTGTTTTTTGCTTTTGTTTTTGTTTTTGAGACAGAGTCTCAGTCTGTCACCCAGACTGGAGTGCAGTGCCATGATCTTCGCTCACTGCAACCTCTCTCTCCCAGGTTCAAGTGATTCTCCTGCCTCAGCCTCCCGAGTAGCTGGGACTACAGAACATGCCACCTTACCCGGCTAATTTTTGTATTTTTAACCTCTTCTTTTTGTTTTTACAGGTATGTATTTTCTAAATTTTCTACAGTAAATATGTAACTAGTTTTACAAAGAGAAACAAAGTAGTGCTTTCATAAAGAAAAAAGAAATACTTCATCATTCCTTATTCCCCATAAATAAAACAAAGGCAAATAATTTCATAGAAAGTTCTTTTTCATGCACCCAATGCTAAGAAAGCCACCTTCATTCTGGCTATAGACAGTCCTATGCACAGTACCTAGGATTTAACACAAAGGAGGACATAAAACAAAAATTGCTCAAGGATTATTCTATACCCTCTTTTTGGCATTGTCTTGATTTCTTTCAGAATTATTTCAAACACACCAGTAAAGCCAGAGGTAAAACAGCCACTGAGCTGGGTAAGTGTACTGAAAACAGCATAGTATAAGGATTATAGGTTTTCTCACCTAAAATTTATTATGATTTAGTCACATTCTAACTAGACAGCTGAAGGAATCAAGCAGAACTATTTCCATATGGTCTTTCCACAAATGACATTCTGAAAAAGTGTTTGTCCTTAGTTATGGATAAAGGTAACCAGAAAGTGGCTCTTAAATGTAAACTGTATCAAGTAATGTTGAGAGCAACAATCTTGCTGCTGGTTTGCCCAAGTTTACATAGCTCGAGCATGAAGAAAATTAAATAAATCTTAAAGCTATCAAGCAAGTATGAACTTTAATTAAAATATAGGAATAAAATTTATATCATGATAGAATGAGTCCAGCTTTGAAGAGACTCAGAAATAGTTTCCAATCTCAGCTAAGGTGTGTGATTTGTGCAAGCAGTTAACATTACTTTGACCTAATTTATCATTTATGAAGTTGGATCATAATAACTTTCTTATATACTTGTTGTTAGATTAAAATCAGACATAAATATATAAGATGCCTAATATAAAACTTGGCATACAGTAGGTGCTGAGACAATAGTAATTATATACTATGGTTTCTGTTATGTCTGCATGATTAAATAACTTTTTGCTGCATGGGTAGAAAAGGAATTTTATAAGATACATTTTTCCCTAACCAAATATAACATGTAAAACTGATATTGTTAAAACTGTCTAGATATTTCACAATCTACTCTTAGGAATATTTTTTTCAAAAAGGAATTTCAAAATTAGAGCAGTCTCTCCAAAAGTTATTTAATCTCCCTGACTGTTTCCTTGTCTGTAAAGTGGGGACACAACCCCTATACATTATAGGGACTGTGTTAGGCTCTAACAAGATAATGCAAATAAAGTACTTTTAAAACTGTAAGCAGGTAGCTATTTCAGTTTAATCATTTAAGTTATTTAGTTTAAAAATATCCATATATTATTGGTATTGATCATCTTGACTCCAAACTTCCTAATTCTCTTAGAAGACAGTTTCTTGTGTTCCAACTGATATCAAACACCTATTACTTTCCTTCCCCGAAATACACTTTTGCTTGAACTGTATTAATTGTGATATGCCACATATACTATATATTTCATCTTAGTTTAATTACCCTAGATACTAATTACTGAAGAAAAAGAGGTTATGGTGATATAATACAATGCATTTATTTACAACCACACTATTCACTATAAATTTACTAAAGCCTCTTTAATTGTATAGTAATAATCATGGAAAGAGGCTGGGTGTGGTGGCTCACGCCTGTAATAAGAATAATAGTGATAATAATAAAATAGTAAATCAATAAAATTGTGGTATCTATTTAATCAATGTATTAATGAAGATGACTGTGTGATCACAAATTTATTTTACTATTTGAAACAAATGATTCAATTTATGTTAAAAAAAAGATTCTATATTTTGGGGAGAAAACTTTACATCTCCATTTCTGAGAAACTTGCTAATTTTTCTATAAAAGAATAAAGTTCAAAATGTAAGAAAGCTTCTGTTCTTGAGCATTAATATTTTCACATAGAAATTTATCCAAAACAATTTGTTAAAATCCTAGGATGTGGGGAAGCTGCAAAATAGACCACTATATTTAAATACATGTAAAATGACCCAGAGAAGAATGCTTTGAAGATGACTCTATGTTCAACTTATTTACTCCTGATGATAGAGAACAAATATGAGATTAGAGTAGAGAAACAGACACAGTTGTCACACCATTCTCTTCCATCAGACATAGTTCTTCTTTGTGCCAGTGGAAGTGTAGGGAGGCCAAGAACAAGGATGTTCCATAAATACCCCACAACTGAAACTGCACCAGGTGGAACAAGGGGTTTCTCAGTTGACTGGATAAGAAGCTGATTCAAAACATGTGGGGGCAGCAAAGAGCTGCTCTGTGAAGCCTAGGGCCCACAGGTGAGTGTGCAATTCATTGTATAAAGT